ACTCTGCTAGCTAAAAGTGAAAATCCCTCATGTTGAAAAGTTTTCTGTTCCTGAAAAGTATGGTTTCATCAAAATGTGATATAGGAAAATATTGATATTAATAATTTTAATTTTCTGATCTGAAAGGATTGTAAAAAACCCTAGCCTTAAGTTGACATTTAAGAATAAAATTCTATGTGGCAACAATGTTATCTGACGAATGTTATGACTTCTCTTTCAATTAAACTTTTACAGCTTTGTTTACCAATTTTTAGATATGCATGCAGTTTACTTTCTTCCTTGTCTGCTTTGCAACAAAAATTGTTCTAATAACTCTAAACTTCTCACTGCATTAAAACCTAATTTCCAGCAATTTTTATATACATGGTATGATCAATCCAGTGTTTTCCTCATTTAAAAACTCCACTAAACCTGGTGCATTAAAGGGAAAAGATGCACTTAAGTAATTTCCACCTATTATCTCTGCAATATTCTGACACAATTTAGCACACCATGCAGAAATCATACAGATTCTCTGTACACTGGAATAAAGAGATTCATACTGTGATACTTGCAACACCAGACAAAGTTCATACGTAGATATGCAATCTTATGAAGCTCTCCTTCTTATTATATGATCTCCAACAATTTTAAAGGCATGCTTTCATTTTAAATCTAATTTTTGGACTAGCACACAGCATGTACCTACAGGCATTCAGATAATAGGATATATAATAGGATCAGACTTTAATTGCTTTTGCTTGAAAATTTTGAAATGCCATTGTGTGAAAACAGAGCTTTTTAATTTAGATTTTATGGTCTCCAAGTTCAGTACATGGGAAATGTTGTGTATTATAAGCAGTTTTTTTCTCTTAATACAGTCCTTATCACACATTGCATTATTCAAAGATCAGCTGTATATTGAAAACAATTAAACAAGTATAAGGTGAAATATAAATTCTGCATGGAAACTCTTTTCATTAAAGCAATATTTCTTTGTTTCAGTGCATAAACTGAACTCCATACACTGAAGAACTTTTAAAATGTGTTCCTAGGAGAACGTTTATTTTCAAAAAGCATACATTAAATGACTCACATTAGCTAAGGAAATGAATTTTCAGATGCAACTCCGCGATGTTACACAATAACCAAAGAGCAGGTTCTCCTTGGAGATTTATTTCTGAAATGTACAAACATCACACCCAAAGGATGCACCTTCTCTAAGAGGCATTCTGCTGTTCCACAGCACATTTTCTGCAATTGCAAACCTGACCACATCCTGAAGGACAATCACAATGCAGCTGTAGGCCTTCTACTCAACACTCTGAGCTTCCCTTATAATGCACAGGAAATTTTACTTTACAATCCATGGTTTACAATTGGAATGGAAAAGCCACATGGTAGGTGTTGTAATTTAGGGAGTAAAGTATAAGAAAAACCACTGAGTTCAGTCAACTTCAGACTGCTAAGGAGGCAGAGAATCTTAAGCTTGAAAGTAATTAACCTTGGAACAGCTTTTGAGGGGTGTTACATTATATTTTCCATTAGTCCTTAGAGTAAACAAATAGAAAGCTTCTCGGATTTTACAAAAATTAATTCTGAATTAGCATTTTCTATGGTCAACTGTCTATACTAGTCTGTGAGGACATAAAAACTTATTTTTAGTGTGTATTATTAAGCTGTTCCTGAACCATCAGTCCTCAAAATCAACTCAGAAAATTGCTGCTGTCTATTCTTACTTTATTAGTGATAGTCTGGAAGAGGGGGAGGCTACAGAGTGCAGCTATCTAATAGACGCACAAAGCTGCCCTAGATTAACAGTTAAAAGTAAAGTTTGTTGTACTCTCTGTTCATGGCAATAGTAGTTTTAAAGAAAAATAATGATAAACTGATTTTTTTCAGTCCTAGAAAAACCACTACATTTCCATCAGGATATATACATATCAAAAGCAAAAAAGCAAAAGTAATCTTCAAAGGAAAAGAATAATTAAAAAAATACATAGACCTGTGGGTTTTGCCCTTTTTATAAATCATCAGCTTCCTCTTATGCCTTCTACTCTATCTCTTAGATATATATTTCACTTGAGATTGCAGCTATCTTGGTTTCTCAGAAATAATAAAATACCAGTTCCCAGGTACATGTGATCTCTAAAAAAAGGCCACAGCAGAATGATGCTGAGGTATTTTCAAAAAACAGGCGTCAAGACAGGAAGAATCATTCTCGTTTTTTCATTGCTTCTGGCATCTCTCCTCCTTACAGGTGTAACCTCTGTCAGAAAGACAGGAGGGCAGGGAGGGACAGCAGGGGATGCCTCTAAGAGCCCAAAGGCTCACTGCTCTTGCACACATTTTAACCTTCACTGGGTCCTACTTCACAATCACATCTCACTTGAGGACATAGAACAGATCCCATTTCAAGGCCCAGCAATATGACTCCAGATCAAGCCAATGGAAGCACTTGCTAAGGGCATAAGGAATTTCCTCCACAAAGATGTACAAGTTACGGGTGGAAAAAAAACCAAAATAAAAAAATCCCAACAAAACCCAAAAATCCAACCAAACAAACATCCACAAAAAAAAAACCACTCCATAAAACAAAACAATCCAGTTTTAGGCAAAATGTCAAATCTCAAAAACCTGGAAAGGTGCAGCACTGTTAGTGAATTGAAGCCAAAGATAAATAATGCTTGTGTTCCCCCTGCTGGCTCTGTCCTCCAAACACAGCTCGGTAGCAATGCCTGCATGGATGAAAGCTTTTGAATAACTGTAATAACACATACAGGGCTTCATCTGTTTCAAACATTTAACTTTGCCTTCATATGTACTTAAACATGATCAGAGGGAGAAAGCACTTGTGAGACCTGAAGGACAAGAGTTGGGAGTTCTTTTGATCTAAAGAAAAATAAATTTCTAAAACACCCATCCTAAACAAAGTGCCTTTAAAGGCACATATAAGATGATGAAGAGACCTACGGCTAATGAAGTAAATAAATAAATAAAACTTGTGAAACACCATCTGGAGTACTGCATACAGGTCTGGTATCCCCAGCATAAAGAAGAATGTGGAACTGTTGGAGCAAGTCCAAAGGAGGTCACAAAATTGGTAAGAGCACTGGATCACTTCCCCTATGAAAACAGGCTGAGGAAGGTGGGGCTGCTCAGCCTGGAGAAGAGAAGGCTGAGTGGAAATCTCATAGCAACCATGTAGTATCTGAAGGGGTCCTACTGGAGTTCCTTCACAGGAACTGCAGTGATAGGGTCAGAGTAATGGGTAGAAACTGAAAAAGGGGAAATTTAAGGCTGAATATTAGGAAGAAATCTTTGCTGTGAGGGTGGTAAGGTTGTTCAGGGAAGTTGTGGATGTCCCAACTCTGGCAATGTCCAAGGCAAGACTGGATAAAGCTTAGAGCCACCTGGTCTAGTGGAAGGTGTCCCTGCCCACGGCACAGGGGGGTGGAATTAAATGATCTTTAAGGTCCCTTCCAACCCTTAACATTCAGTATATTTAAATGCAGGCACAGTAACCTGGTCACAAATCCCACAGACAGCACTACTGGTGGCTGCAGTCAGCTACACATCTCAGGTGTTTGGGAAGACTTGAATGAATGGATAGACCAAGCTCCCTGATGGTGCCCTGCTGTTGCTTCCCAAACCCTCTGTGTGCTCCTCAATGCCACCAATAGGTGCCACCTGCCCAAGTTCAGCTGGCAGTGCCCTGGACCCAGCCTCAGCACTGAGCCCATCTCTGTCACTTCTGAGAGGACCCCATCAGCCTCTGCTCCCTACCTGGGGAATTTATCAGCATCAGAATCTTTGAAGTGCTTAGAGAAAGGTGAGGGCTTCTGCAGCAATAAAGGGTGGCTAGCTGTAACAGTGTCAGGTTTTTAGACATGCCCTTAGAGATTACTATTAGTTTGGCCATATTAGTTGGCTTCAATTTTCTTCAGTTAAAAAAGAAAAAAAAAAAAAAACAACAAAAATCAACCCCATAAAAACAAAAAAACTCAAAACATCACCAGAAACCAAAATCAGACCACCATTAAGAGCAAAGCTGGACATTAACAATCTCTAAACTTGTTTTTCTTTCCATCAATATACAATAAAAGGAGCAACAACACTTGAGCACAACTCTTTCTAAATTACATTTGTGTACTTCAGGCTGAAGAAAACAGAAAATCTGAACATCCTGCTAGATTATCTCTGTTGAGCTAATATCCTAGCCTAACCCTAAAATGCCTTCCAGAGAAATTTATATATTATAAACTGGGATTTTTTTGTCAAGCCAAGCCAAACTTACTACACAGGTAAACATGAACATGTAGATTTTAAATACTGCCTTCCTTCACAAACTGTACTTCCCCATTAGCGGAAGAGCTGGAAACCAAGACTGTGAATTGCAATGTTAGAAAGGGTTGCCTATATCTTAAAACCATGTGCTTGATAATCTTGATATAAAAATATTTCAAGCATGATGCATCAACCACACATACTTATTTAAATAAACCAGATTTGTTGGCTACTGTTAGTTGATTTTTATTAGTTAAAAAATAAGCAGTAACACCAAACTGAATTCTGTTTTTAAGTGCTAGGCATAAAGAGATTGAATTTTCATTCATCCTTGCACGACACAAGTCATTCTTATTTTGCTGAATGCATAAATGCAGCCCCTGTAATCTCTTTCTGATAAAAATACCTTCACGTTTCCTCCACTATACAGTTACTCTAAAACTACTAAAAAGGCTACTTGGTGAACCCCATCCTGTGCCCAGCTTCACATGAAGACATTGGGGCCATGCAGACAGGCGCAATGAATCAGAGTAAACTGTAAGCAGGCAGTAGAAATAAAAGAAAACCCAACAAACAACTAATACTGAGAAACAAGCAGCAACAGCTTGTTTCCATACCATCAGCTGGTTTAGGAGGACCTGTTCCTTTTCCTGTTTCATTAAAAACTGCCTGTTACTCCTCAGGTATAACCCAGGATGCCACATGATGGCAGCAAACACCAAGCTCTGCCTTACCTGCATGGGCTGGTCGCCTGCTGCTCTGAAGTCTTCAAGCGGCTGCATGTGCCATGCAGGCACACCGTAGGGCTCCTCGGCAGGCCTGCAGTCCAGGGGATTTGCCCGCAGCTGCTCCTTGAGCCACATCTGAGTCCTCACGGCCGGCTGTATGGGAGCGCCGCTCACAGCCTGCTGCCCCAGGGTCGCGTATCTCTGCCCGAAAGCCTCGCAGCCGCCTGCCGCAGGCTTGCTTTCAGGTAAGGCACTGTAGGTCAGGTCTAAGGCGTGTCTCCTACTTGGGGAATCCGAAACAAAGTCGTCTTTGCTGCACGTGTCAAATTTGTACTTGCAGTCCAGCAGAGAGGATCGTTTTTTCCCCATGTCTTTGTCCTCAATCTTTAGCAACTCCATGCTGTCATGCAAACAACTTGGCCCATTTGTCCTTAATTGAGGTGGTACAGCTTTGTCCGTACCAGCCCTGTATTCCACCGAATGACTACTTCCATCCTGGCTGAAATTATTTGGTGAGCTGAGTTTAGACAAGGAGGACCATTTTCTTACAGGTCTTGCATCTTTCATGTCAAGAGAATTCTCCAGGGCTCCCTGATTTCTGCCTCCTCCTGACCGTACAAAGCTTGTACTCCATTTTGAGCCATCAGACTTGAAAGCTTCCCTGTGTTTGGAAAGTGAAGAGCTGGCACCAGACAGCATCACATGGGCAGTGGGAATAGAAACCAGTGATCGGCTGGGCTTAAATGATGATGTACCACTTGAAGTTGAATGATCTGTGAAGAGAAATTTATCATGTAAATAAGCGCAACATAGAGCTCATTAACACTAGTTCAGATAGGACAAAATATCAAATTCAAGGTGAAAAGCAAAAATAGAAGGAAAGAGGTTTTTTGACAAAATAGAGCCTTCTAGATCATTCTAAACCATGACAATAGAAACTAATTAAAGTGTGAGATTTTCAAGTTTATTTTGCTCAGGTGTCATGATAACAAAAATAAAAGCTCACTAAGCATTGGCAACAGAAGCTTCAGATAGAATTCTCAGCCTGTGAGCCAAAGAAACCATTGCCAGCTTTAAGGTGGCAGGATGGACTTCTCCCCCACTCCACACATACTAAGGAGCTTCTATATCACTAACAGTACAGGTGCTCAGGAGCCCCAAGACCCATTCTCCTTCCATCACCCCTCTTCTCATTTTTTGAAGACAGAACAATTCAATAAATGCATTTGGTAAAATGGCAGTGCTGTAGACAAGCCAGTTTAATAATGGTCACTTAGACAGAGTTATCCATTCTGGATCTCACCAATTTCCAAATATGCCTCCTGTGCTGTGTTTGGCTGGGAAAGAGTTAATTTCCTCTACAGTACCTGGTATGGGGCTATGTTTTGGATTTGTTCTGGAGACTGTGTTGGTGATTTAGGGATATTTTGGCGCCTGCTAAGCACTCCTTACACAATCAAGGCCTTTCCTGCTTCTCACCCACCAATGAAGAGGCTGCTGGTACACAGGGAGCTGGGAGGACACGCAGCTGGAAGAGTTGACCCCAACTGACCAAATGGATATTCTGTATTCTATGGCACCATGCTCAGCAATAAAACTGGGGGAAGGCTGGTTTGGGGGACTGCTGCTCAGGGAACAGACAGCTGGTGGTGAACAATTGTTTTAATTTGCAGCATTTCTTTCTCGTTACTTTTCTAACAATATTTTTCTTCAGTAAAAGACTCTCAGGGAAAGCAGGGATGGAAATGCCCAGAAGAGAGAAATGCATCTCCTCTTGTACAGGCAACTCCTTAGCTTGAGGCTGCTGGCTTTGTAACATTCAAGACAACTAACCTTTGTACTGAACCTTATGCAGAAGCTGAATCTGACACAGCACAAAGTCAGTCCAGCAAAGGCAGCAGTCCCGGGCCTTTTCATATCAAAAAAAAAAGTGTATTAGGGTTCAAAAAGAACTGACCTATGTTTTAGGCTATACAGATTTCTAGGAGTAGAAATATTACATCTGCAAGAGAAAGGTAAAAGAAACCCTGTATATATGTATCTGTAAAACTTAAAATAGTAAAAAATATATAGTAGTATTTAATATAGCATTTTCCATCTAAAATACTGACTTAATGTTAGACATATATGGTTTTTAAACTGAAATTAAAACCAATAATAATTAGAAATACATTATCTCCTTCATGTATTAGATTACAGATTTATCAATATGTGGTAAATTTTTATTTTTCCTTCTTCTAAATTTAATTTTAAAATAATTAATTTTGACTTAAGTTAAATTTCTTCACTTTCAGTATTAAACTCTTCAAGCAGATTTGAGCTTGGAATGCCACTTATATCCAAGCACAGCTAATGGATGCCTCCAATAATTTGTCTCAAAGAGAAACACAGTAATTTTGGCTTCAAGTTGTCCTAATTAGTCTTCCCATTAACACTCACTGAAACATATGAGAAAATTCACACTTTTTCTTAGAGCATATTGCTCAAGTCTGCCTTGCCTGCAGGCTCAGCTGGAAAGAGAACCAGTCTGCCTTTGGAAACACCTCGCAACACAAAAAGCAGGAAACTCATAGATTTCATTGAAAATAATAGAGAATGCAGAAAGCATCGAGAAACTTAAGAGATATTATTTCTTCTTTAGTCACAGGAATAAGCTCCATCTGGCCAAATCCTGTCAAAGACAACTTTATCCAAGCAGCAGGTTTTTCCCTTCCATACAGGTGGGGGTATGCAAATGCCAGTTCGGACATGACAGCGCTCTCTCCTTGGGATTACTTGGGGTTTGTTTCACTGATCTGGCATTTATTTGAAGATTACAAACACTCTCAAACATGGCCTATGTGTCTCCAGAGTCTTTCAAAGCTTAAAACTGCTCTCTTTAACGAAAGCCGAAAGAGACATGGGGATAAAAATGTAGCTAGATGCTACTGGTGTTCCTTTCAGCAGAAATAAGATTATATGACAACTTTTTCTTTTCAATTATCCTCATAACTTTTTCTGGTGCCCACCACAAAGCTCCCTGGAGTACTTTTCTAACAGGCATGACATTTTAATACCTGATCCAGTACTTTCAAAGCCACATAAATAAGAGAATTGAAAGTACACTATTTTAAAAACGCATTACAAGATTTCTACCATATAATAACAGCAGATGGAATAAAAAATTAAGAACATTTCATATGGCTTTCTTACCATCTTGTGTTACACTTCTGAAATATCTAATTACTACTTATCTGGCATAGAAAATTATGTAACAGAACCAATTTTGGTGTTAATAAAAAACTAATCACAAAGAGAGAGCACAGCAGGCACTTTCTTCTGAAAGAGGGGCAGAAGAAACCCCTCAATATAAAGTTAATAAACACCTTCTACGCATTTGTATTTTCCTGTGCTATGCTTTTTAAATTACTGGAAGAAAAACCTCTGAAGTAATTTCTCAGGCCAGACACGCCACCCTCACGCAGCTACTTAAAATCCTTATCTGTCGCCCAAAAGTCAGTCAAAACACACAAGTCAGAAAAGGTTCACTGTAACCCTCAACAACTTCTTAAGCTGCAAAATTATACCAGTGCTATGAGAACTCCCATATAAGATACACCTCTGACAAATTCTTCACAGATAAGATATTATCATACAATAGCAGGGTAATCACCTAATACAGTTACTCAATATTAATCAAAATCAAAATGTATCTGATGCATGTGTTTATGGGATGCATGTGTATCTAATGCTGCTGAATAGCACTGAACCTTCCTTGTGTGAAGGACTTTGAAATTTGATATTTTATCCAGGGTATAATTAGAATGCCCTGATCATGGAGAAAGACACCAGTATTAAAAGCAGCTGACCTTCTCTTCCTGTCCTTCCCTCCCACTTACCTCCCCAAAACACTGACATAGTTTACCCCAATCCAGGAAAATAAATGGAATTATTCTTACTAACTGAGCAGAAGATAAACAGGGGAAGTCAAGCCTCCATTATACAAATTGAAGGTCTTGAATCTGCCTGTGGTTTAGTGAACAAAAGCTCTGACATTTATTATAGGACCTCAGTTCCTCTGAACTGTTCTCTAGCTCTGCATGGACCCCAGCAACAGGTCACAAACAATTCCAGCATCCATCATAGGACTGAAGGAGCCATGGGTCTTCCATCTACCATGCAAGCACGTGGGTGCTTCTCATAAATCTCCAACAGAGCTGTTTTCAACAACAGAAGTGTCTAACTCTCCTGGGAGTTGGGTGAAAGACAAAGACATTGGGATGATGTGCCACTACAGTAGTATTGATGCTACATGTGTGTTCCTCCCTGCCTACCTACTCACAAACTGACAGGCCTCAATGCAACAGAGATAATCAGATGAGCCAGATGAGACATTTCAAAGTGGCCAGGCAGGAGGCCAGTTCTTGTAAAAAGCCCTAAGCAGACTGACTCATCATCCTCTGGAAGCAAAAGCATGCCTTTCCAGGGTGCAGCAGCACTTGCAGGAACGGTTTGGGCTTGGTTGCTTTGTTGGGGTTTTTTGGTACTGTCTAGACTTCTTCATCATTCTTTTTCATATTACTTCACATTTACTATGTCAAAATATGAGGTGAATGAAGGAAGGAATCTCTGCAAATAACTCTCTTCCAAAGAATAAATAAGAACATGCATCACAGAAAGCTGTGGCAGAAAAGCAGGGAACTGTTCAGACATTTAACAAGTTTTGCATGAGAAAGAACTCTATGAACAAAAAATGTTTAGGAATTCTAAGTTTGAACAGCAAGGAACTAATATAAAAGAATAACTAACAAAAAACTTACTAGAGGAAAAATGCAATACTAGCTAAAGTTAATTTAAAATAATGTTAAATGCTAAAAGACTTACTGCCAGAAAAATGTCTATGCCTTCAAAGCAGAAAAAGTCATGTGGTGTTTAGAAGCAAGTCCAATTAATGTCAATTGGAAAAAAGAAGGAAGTTTACTGCCTTCCACCATCGCCATCACTGTACTGCCAGTATCAATCAGAATTCTTTTACATAAGATGTGGGTTGCAAACTCCAAGTCAGTTCTACTTTGTTTCACATTAATTGTATGGGATTTTCTGTAACCTACTGTGTTGCATACCAAAGGAATACAAGTTGTACCTAAAAACTTGATAGTTTTAAAAGGTGAAGGACTTTAAAAGCTTTGTAATTCACAAATAATTTGAACAGTACAATGCTGAATAATACGTGACCTTAGAAGGTTGCAGTTGAGACAGGATTTTCAAAAACTGAAGCAATTTTGTTGCTTTTAGGACTTTGTTTCAGATGAAATACTGGTAAAGCTACTGTGCCTCAGCAATGTTATTATGGAGAGATGCAAGAAGGAATAAATGGCAGGACAGCCTCACAGGCCTCCCACAATGCACACATATAAAAAATACTACAGGGCAATTTTAAAGAATTTTTACTAAGTACAGCAGAAAGCCATGCTGAAAAGAGTAAAAGCTGCACTCACAAATATCAGGATGGAATCCACACTTATGCAAGGAAAGAACTGCAGAGGTAACACTGAGTTCCAGCAAATGGCAAACAGCTTCTTAGACATCCTTACAAACAAAGGCAATGCTATGTACAAATGAACGTACTTGAACAGAAACTTCCTTGACATATCCCATCTAATTTATTAAGACCTGGCCATTTGGTGTCCATCTTCCTTATCCTCCTCCTCTACAGCTAATGAATTTGCTTGTCCCCCAGTTGTGACTTCTCATTCTTTTCCATGCCCTTGAGGCAAACACACCTTCTCCCTTG